CAAAACCCCAAAACCCCAAAACCCCAAAACCCCAAAACCCCAAAACCCCATAGTATTACAATTGACAAATTTTAAGTTGAATCTTGTTAATTGAAAATATATTATATTACTTTTAAAAATACATCTTTATATCTTGAGTAATAAATTTCATTTTTTTTATCTTTTAAAGAGCATATAATCCACCTTTTTAAAGTTCTTTTTTACACTTCTTATCTTTTTCTCAATTTCTTCGATATTTTCCTTCCTTATATCATTTTCTAAATTCTAAATGAGAGCTTATGTTTCTTTCTAGTATGAAGTTGTGCTCTTCTAGTTTATCAATTCAACAAAATTTTTCTTCATTTAATTAATCTATTATACTTTACCCTCTGCTGACTCCTTTAAATCATTAAGAACTTCTATTGATGCAGATCTATGCTCATAAAGAACTTAAGCAACTGCTTCTTTTATTTTAAATACCAAGACGTTAGATAAAAAGTCTGTATCAAGGGCATCTAACATTGGTACGTTCGGACCTCAGGCTTTTAAGTAATAATTTAATTCTCTTACTTTCCTTTTATACTTCTCTACAATTTCAATTGTTTCATTTGTGTTTGTTTATAAATCTTGATTCAATTCGTAATTTTTGAATTCCTCATTATCCTGATTTAATTAATTAATATTTGGTAGTGATTTTGGTTTTAATCCATATGGATAACCCATCGGTTGCCATTTTTATTCTATATTCTTAACTTATTTAAACTATCCAGGTTTATTTTCTTTTATTTCCATATTTATTAATGAATTCTATTATCTTAAAATCTTATAGTCATTAATATTTCATTCCTGCTATTGATCTTTTTCTACACTTTGTATTAGTAATTAGTTCTAGCTTTCAAGTTATTTATTGTATTACATTACTTCTTCGAGTAGTTTTTCATTTTAAAGTCTTTCTTTTACTACATATTCGCTTGCAGACATTACACTGTCATAGCAAGAATTACAATAACTGTATATCTCATCTCCTAATGCAGAGCTCATGTAGTATCCATTTTCGATGCTCAAACGAATAGAAGAGGAATTCTTAAACTGAATTGATTAAAAATCTTCCATTTCCCATGCACTTTTTAGACTCTTTCTACACATTTTGCAAAGTATAGAGAATCTTTTGATTTAGGGTTCGTTGCTTTTACTTTTAAATGGTGATATGTTTTATTTGAATAGATTCATAAACTAAGATATATATTATAACTTTAAGTTCATTATGATCAAATATAACACAAGATTTTATATAAATTAGCACTACGGGGTTTTGGGGTTTTGGGGTTTTGGGG